ACTCACCAAGTTTATAAAGGTAATATTGGTAAAAAATCTTAGCTTTGAAATAAAAAGTAATGCTGTTTTTGAATAAATATAGCTTGACATAAAGAGCCTCTGTAAATATGTGAGAGGGCTCATTAGAAAGCTATAATGCCATAGTTTTATTTCTGATTAATAATGATGTTTGTATTTGTTATAAAAATAATGAGATATTTTAAAAAACTTATTTGTTACACAAGTCAGATTTTCTATTTTATATATGTAATTACACCTCCTGTGACATATCATTTGACTGTTAAAAAATGCCAAAACAACAACAGCAAAAGAAAACAAAAAAAGGAAATAATCAAGAAGAAATTGCTGGGTAAGCATTTATCAAAATAATGGTGGTGGTGGTTATTGCCCACCACTTGTCATCACTCTAGTTGTTAAAGAAAAAATGGTTGTGGTATTGCAATTCATTGTTCTAGTTCATATAATAATTTTAATTGCCAAGATTTTTTTAATAAATAACAAATAAAATGAATCAACAAAAAGCTTATAATAACCATATTAAGAGTTTGTTAAATTTAAGTTAACTAATTAAAATTTTGACCTTTTATTTCTTTATAGGACCACTCACACCATATGTAATATGTAATCATATGGGTAGGATTGGCTATTTTGTTTTTTAATGATTTTGATATTAATCCAATCTCCAACTGCAGGAAAAGGAATTAATAAATAAAGAAATTGAAATAATTAAATTGAAAAAAAGGATTCTAGAGCTAGAGAAAGGTAGAGATTTCATGTAAGGTTTCTGGTCCAAACTGTTTTCTCAAAGCCCAAACTAGTTTGGGCAATTTGGGCTTCTCGACATTTTCTATAAGCATGAACATTAAAAAACTATATGAATCAACTTGTTTTAACTTAAACAACTTTAAAATAATTTCGCCCAATTTCGGCTAATAACAAAAAGTAGTTTGGGCTTATAAAAAAATAATTTTTGCCCAAAGTATTTGGGCAATTTCGGCTACTAATAGAAGCAGTTTCGACCAGAAACCTGAATTTCATGATGAAAACGTTAGGTTATATATTGGGGTTTGATTAAAGATAGGAATTGGCTATAATTGGACAACCAATTTATTATATTAATATTTAGGTGACTAAATAGTCTATTAAACTTATAGTTGATTATAAAAATTTCAACTGATTCCATTTTATTTAACTATTTCAATAATCTATCATTATTTGTATACTTACAACAACAATAACTAACTTGTTTTCTTTTTGGCTTTTTTTTCTATGTTACATAACTACTAATCTTGTAATTCTTGGATTATTTCAACTGAAGCAATTGACATTAAACAAGATCTCAAAGGTGAATAATTGTTTCTGAATGGAAAAATTTCAAACATCTTTCCTATACAACTCGATGATGATCACATACATATAGTTGTACAACCTCCTGCCACCACTGGTAAGTGTCTCCCAATGTTTTACCTCTCAAATAAAAATAGTTTCACTATTCTGTTTTTTATATAACATATTGATCATCATGCTTTGTACTAGATCAAGGAACTGATGTATATTGTAGCATTGCAAACCTTGGCTATCAACCTTGAAGACAAGGTATTTATAAGCTGTAATTTTGAATCTTTGAATCACATTGTTTATTTATATTACAGTCCAGATTAGATAGTTTATCAAGATGTTCTTACAATCAGAAATTCTTAAAGAACTACATTTTTCTGGTAACTTACTTTCTTTATTATTGTATAATAATTTAACTCTATGCATCATATACCCTTTCTCCCTTGAAGCTTACTGGAACAAAGATCCATATCTATGGGGTAGTGTCTGCAATTGGGATATATTTTTTATCAAAACATTCCCTGGTGTTAGTACATCAGGAAATTTTTTCTGATGCAAGTTTACATCCGTAAGTTTTAATATGAAATGATGTAATATTTCACATAAAAAGGACGTAATATTTACACTGAATGTAATAATTGCGTAATTTTTGTGCAATTTTTGCATAATATTACACTATTTACATAAGTTTATGGCGGGCCCCATAATATTATGTAAATTTACGGCGGGAAAAGTTTCCTGATGTAGACACAAATCACATAATTCATTTGCTGGTGAGCTAAAAATTCTTATGAAGTGACTGTTTATGTAATTTTGAATTGCTGTGGGCATTTTTTTAAAAAAATTAAAATTTACAAATTAGTCTAATGTTGAAGATATTGACACTGCAAGCATTATTCCCTTTTTACATATCTCAACTTTCTGGAGCTCTGCAAAATTTACAAAACTACTATTCACTTCATTTGGATTATGCATCCAGATTTTTCATGCCATATTGATGATATTCCAATCTTAAACACAGAAAGTAAAACCATTGAGATATACCCAATTCCAAAAATCAAAGGATTTCATAAAAGCTTGTTTATGTGCAAAAAAAAACAATTGGGTTAATTGATAAAAGGGATGGGCCTTACAAATCATTGTTTTTATTAAATATGGGAGGTGAATGCCCTATTGTAAGATTATTTATTTTCATTTAAAAATTAACATTTATTTAATAATCTTGGTGTAAAAACTAGTGCCATAAATTATGATGATGGTAGCAATTGTATTTATGGCATATAAAAAGTGGTTGCAATTACCTTTGTGACCACTTTTGCAACCATACTTTTTCCTTTTTTGGATTACAGCAATAGTCTTTATCTTGGTGTATACATTGAATCTTTCATAATGGATTTGGATGTAGATGGTGTATATAGAGCATTTCCTTTTATGAAATCCATTTTATCAATTGATAAACCATCAGTTATGTCATTGTCTCTTACTTTAGCACACCCAATAACATTACAGGTATAGAAAATGCTTACAAGTTTTTTTTTTTTTACTCTTAGATTAAAGTTAAAAAGAGTTTATTTTAAAAGACTATCATTTTTTTTTTGCCTCCATGATCTGTGTAACTCTCTGATACAACAATGATAATAATTAACAATGCACTTGTTTTCCCATATTAATTATATTATGGTCACATTACATTGATAATACAATTGTGATGTTAAACAAACAATATTAATCCCTGAAAATTTTGGTAACACTAATGTTCACTTTGTCTAGTATGCCCCATATAACATTAAGAAGTTCTGTCTAAAAAAAATAATATACAAGGAAAAAACATATATATATTAAAAAATTAAAAATTAAAATTATTTCTATTTTAGTCTATTATTAATTAAACTAACACAATTTAAAAAAAATTTTTATGTAAAAAATTTAATGTATAACCCAAACTCCCATTTAAATCTAACTTAATATAATTCTATTATAATAATAATCCAAAAGATGAAAATAAATTAGAATGAGCTTCTTTGATATTGATATAGTGCATTGTTATCATCATTATTGTTTGTATGAGGATTTAATTGAGGAGCCGAATTATTATTATCTTCTTCATAATAAATTTGATGATGATAGATTTGTGGTTGTTGCAATTGATAACTTTGATCCTCTTGATCTTGATATGTCAATACTGGTTGTTCTTGATATATTTGTTGTATTGGCTGTTCTTGATATGTTGACTGTATTGGTTGTTCTTGATATGTTGGTTGTATTGGTTGTTCTTGATATATTGGCTGTATTGATTGTTCTTGATAAACTTGTGCCACTTGATAATTTTGTTGCTCTTGATAGATTGGTTGTTGCAATTGATAAAATTCATTATCAAATGAATTATTGCCAACATCAACATCATAATTATTATCACTATTGTTACTGTCATAATTATTACCACTATTACTGTTACTATTATTGCTAATATTACTGTTACTATTATTGCTAATATTACTGTTACTATTATTGCTAATATTACTACTACTATTATTGCTAATATTACTACTACTATTATTGCTAATGTTACTGTTGCTGTTACTGTTACTACTATTGCTAATGTTACTGTTACTGTTACTGTTACTGTTACTGTTACTGTTACTCATTGAGGAGGATGATAATGGAGATAGATGAACATTAGTTTTACTATTATCACCAACTGTTAATTGCAGATTTGATCCAATTCTAATATCTGAACTATAAATACTTGAAGATGTATCATTGCAATTATTATATTCTGATTCTTCTTCTTTTATAATTGAATGCTCTTGAGATAATCCAGAACTTCCATGAATAGTATGATTAAATTTACCTCCACCTAATCTAACACCATAATCATTATTATTATAATTACTTAATCTAGTAGCAGTATTACTATAATTACTTGATCTAGGAGTAGTAGCATTACTATAATTACTTGATCTAGGAGTAGTGGCAGTGGCGATGGTGACATTATCACCATTATTATTTTTACTGTTATTATTTTGTTGTTGATTATTTTTCAATGACTTGTTAGGATAATTATTCAAACTAGATGAAGACAAAGAATGAGAAGCGGGGGAAAAAGGTCTGAAAGGAGTTCTTGCACTGTCATTATCATCAAATTCTCTAGCATCCACAATAACATCTTGTCTCATTTCAACTATGATCTGTTTACTCCTTATAGTGCTTTCAGCATAATGTTTAGGAGTGCCTAATGCTATAACAGTACTATCAAAATCTTTTGTTGTATCAATTGGTTCAGAGATTTGTCTTTTTGATTTGGAAGAGTTCAACTCAAAATTAGGATAAAATATTGTAATGATTAATATTAAGATTATAAACTTACTAAAATTTATATTGATTATAATGAAATCTAAAACAAGTTTATTGTCTGTGATCAAATTTAACCTATAAACTATATTATATGTTATATAACTTGCTGATAAAATTGATAAACTAATGATCAACCAAAGATTTAAATCTTGAAAATATATTAATTTTCCTTGATTCATAACAATGTTTCTTGAAAATTGATTGTTTTTAATTAATCTATTAAGCTTTATGTTTATTCTTATGTTTAATAACGTTATAATGAATATTAATCCTCCAAAAATTAATCCTAAAATGATCTCTTTGCCTATTAATAAACTGTTATTATCAACATGTTCTGTTAACACAAATTCAAGTATTGGTAACCTAAAATAAAATGGTTGACGATCATCAAATGCATTATGATGACGTATATAGCAGCAAATTACGTAATTAACACTATACTTACAGCGGTATGAGTAGGATCGCCAGTATCGTAAAACCCTGATGTTCCCAAACACTTGAAAATTTTTTATGAGATAATTGTTCAATTAAATAATTACAAAATGCCTGTAATAAAAATAAATTCGATCTATTCAAAAAAAAAAAAAAAAGAAAAATATTAGAAAAATCAAAAAATAAAAAAAAAATCGAATAAACAAATGCTCTTACATGAAAAAGTTTAAAGAAATTGAATTCAAATATTTTGAAATTTGAAATAATTTTATATCAACATCATTTGATAAAATATCTTCGAAATTTCCAGTAATAATTATTGAATTTTCGCCACTGTCAAATTTATTAGAATCAAATATAATATAATATATTGTTATATCATACATTAATTGTATCAATAATCCTAAAAAAAATAAATATGAAAACAATGTCCTTGGTTCAAGATGAAAAAATCTAGAACATGAGAGTATTTTTAATTTGTTGGTTTGATTAATGTTTATTATCAACCTTTTTTATTATGAGAATGAATGAATGAATGAATGAATTGGAAGATGAAAGAGTTAGATAATGAATTAGTTGGAAGATGGAATTAGAATATTTTTTATGAATTAGAAATTTATGACACTTACCATGCCATAATGAATGGCGTGTAAATAATTCTTGCTAATATATTTGAATGTGAATGCGAATTGATTAATTAGTGAACATGACATTGTTAGTTATTAATCATAATAATTGTCATTATAGTATATAACTTACAGAGACAACTAGTATCACTAAAATCTGACATTTTTATTATTTTTGTAAAATTAAATAAAGCATTAAAATATTATTATTAAATAGAAAGAAAAATAATAATATTTTTTTAGAGAAAAATTTTTTTTTTATATTTTTCTTTGTATTCACTATCGAAATTGTAATAGGTTCGTATAAATTTTCAATCATTTCATATTAGGTTTAGATTATCCCAATAATCCAATAATTAAAAAAGTTGTGTTTTATTAAATAATAATAATAACAATGACGATTATATAACAAATTAATAAATACATGAGTAGAATATTGCTTTATAAAAAAATTATTTCTCATTTTGGTGCAGAATAACCCATTTTTAATTCTGGGTATTGTGCAGGAACTTCTGGCAATTTATCCGATAACTGAGTTATATCCAAGGGTATGGATTTGCCCATCCAAGTCACATTTTCTGTGTGGTCTTTGACCTCATTTATTGTCAAAGGATGAATCATGACTGAAAGCCCATTTCTATGTAATAGAAACCACGAATACACCCTTGAAAAATGCTCTTTTGGACACCACACTTCATATGATCCCTAGAGAATACATACATAATAAACATTAATATTAATGTTAATTAATTAATTAATTAATTAATTATATATATTATATATATCACATACAATTATATGTGGACCTAGCGGTCCATGGTTAACTGTATGATATGGTACCGGGTTAAAAAATCTTTTATCGATTAATTCGATAATTTTATTTCGAAGTTTAGCCGCGGCTTCGCAGCTTTCTTTATTTTCCTTTATTTTATTAACGAAAAATTAAAAATTAAACCAATTGGTTAATTTATTATCTATTGTATGTCTCTCTTGCTCATTCTCCCATTCCTCTTACTTGAAAAAAGTAGACGTGGAAGTGGTATTCTTTTATTTCTTCTACCTCTTCTGGAAGAGGTACTTTTTCATCAACACAAGTATGGCCACTTATCAACATATTTTTTTTTTTTTATGGATTTTAAAATTAAAAATGTTTATTATTATTTGTTAAAGTATTTTGTAAAATATTTGTTTAATTACAGATGATGGGTAATGGATAGATGATGGATGATGATAGATGAAAAATAATTTGATTGAGTTATATATAGTAAAATTTAATACGGTACAGATCGTCTTTTTATAATAGAAGTTAAAAAAAAGCTTCGGTTGGATTTTAAAATTTGTTGATCAACTAGACAGGATCTCGGATCAGAACACAGAGAAGTTGTAAATAATGCAATTTTATTATACCTGTTTTTGTAAATCTAGTCATACCCTTTTTTCATCCCAGTTGAAAATTTTTTTTACAACGTAAAACAAAATACAAGAGAGAATATCTACTTGTTTAAAATATTAAAAATTTCCAATGCAATTGAATGTAAAGTAATCATATCATGATGATGATCCCTACATAATATAATATTTGTTTTGATGATAAATGGCTAAATAAGAATTTTCATCCTCATACTGTAAACAAATTACCTTTTAATTGCGCTGTGTGCCTTTTGGTAGTACGTAAGATAGAAAAAAAAAACTTTAAAATGTCGAATTCTTCTTTTATGTATATATTTTTAAGATCAACTTATGGACCAGTAAATTTTGTGGAATAATTATACTTCAAAATATTGTAACACAAAAATTATCATGTGGGCAGAAATTTTCATTTTTGTGATATTCAAGCTTGAAACAAGTGGATTGAATTTAAAAGTGTAACATTAAAGTTATAAAATCCATACTGTTAAAATTTTATTTTTAAATAATATTCTATTTGTGTTCTTATAATTAATATAGTAATACAAACGAATTTCAGCATCAAAATAAATTATTAATTTACCTTTAATTATATATGTAATTAACAAACTAATAACAAAAGGCTTATCCAATTGTTAACGTTATTTCCATGACGGGCCAAGAACGTCTGCATGTATCACGTTAAATGAGATCAACTTCCCTGTCCTTTTTTTCCGTGTAGGCAAAGCCATGCGTGTATCATTACGCAGTTTTGAAATTCATTATGTTTGAAGAAATGCCCAAAATTTTTTTACGAACCAAAATCTATTTAATCAATTTTAATGCTAATTAAAGTGCAAATATCAAAATTATCTATAAAATCCCAAATGATCTAATTATTTATCTGTTCCCTGTTTTATTTGTGTTGCTTATAATTAAATAGCTATATCATCGTTGAATGATAGAGAAATACTCGTTTCACGTTAGAAAAAATATATAATAAATTTCAGCATTAAAGTAAATTATTAATTTACTTTTAACAAACTATATAATAATAATAAACTCATCCAATTGTAGTGATTTCATTCATAAAACAGTAAACGGAAACAAATTTTGGTTTGTAAAAAAAAAAATCTTTTTTTTATCCTCACAACTACATAGGATTGGAAAACATATATTTCGAAATATCACTATGTAAATGTGGATCACATGAAATTTCAAATTTTTTATTTTTTGGTAAAAGTGAATTTATCTGCGACAAATGCCCCCGTTATTGAATTATGTCACCAAGAAATTTCAGGATTAAATTGGTCAACATCAACAGTTGTAAAATTAACTCCCACAGGATTATCTATAAATATAAATATGAAATCAACTTACATAAGGTCCATAAATCATGGGTTGTCAAATTTTGTAACTTGCCAACCTTATAGTGTTTGCTAATTTTATCATGGCATAATGATGGAATCATAAATTAATTAGGTGGAAATTTATAATGGTTTTTTATTGATGGATATAGCAGAACGATAACGGGTTTACAATGTGGTACCAATAATAAAGCAGAAACCATCTTGCAACTATTTCATAAAGTAAGAACAGGTACAATTTTGATGATCGTGGTGAATGAAAATTTTCTTATAGGTAAATTGATGGTTAACTATCATGGGATGGGATGCTATATTTTTGGCCAGTTAGTTCATGATCAAAGGATATAACGTATATGGAGAGATGTTTATTGCATTGTCTAAAACTTGTGAAGCTTGATAATGAGGAGATAGTAATATAGTTAATATAATTGTATATATTGGAATAAATTTGGTCTTTCGGATTGGTTTTATAGGTGAAACTTTAAAAAATGGCTAGCTTTGCTTGAAGCGATCTTAATTAATTTAAATAATTGGAACTTCAAATTTTCCGCACTAATACATCAAAACCAGGCGAGCAACTTTTACTTGAATATTAGCATAATAAAATTTCGACTTGATGAACTTCGTTGATTTTACCGTATACAGTACATACACTGCCCTCCAAAAAGTATTCAATAATTATGAAAATGACGAAAGCACATAAAATTTATATCATTATATGACTTAAGTTTTGACGATTCTGCATATAAAATTTCATTTTTTTATCATTCTTTATCTTTGTGATTTTTATGTTTCTCGAAATTTTATATCATAAAATTTAACGAATAAAAATTTTGTCATTAAAAATAAACTGATTCCCGATAAAATTGATTAGATCAAAAAAATTTTCACGATTTTTTTGATTTTTAAAAATGGCAAAAAAATAAAATTCCGAGTTAACTAAAACTGAACGAAGGAAATTTTAGATCTAAGAATAGGTGGTAGTTCTCTTGCAAAAATCGCAAAGACACTTAGTATTTCAAAAGGCTATGATTAAAAAAATGATTAAAAAAATAAAAATAAAATTTTGACCAGTGTTTGTCTTTTTTTAACTAAAAATCATAAATAACGATAAAAAAAAAAACAAGATTTTATAAGTAGAACTGTCAAAACCTAAGCCATCTAGTGACATAGATTTTATGTACTTTAGTTATGTTAAAAAACCTCCTCGTTCGAATACTTTTTGGAGGGTAGTGTATTAACATGTAAATTCGACAAGTCGGCTAAAAATTCCGACAACTCGATAAAAGTCGGTTACATGAGTCAGCCACCCCCGCATGACCAACATGTATCCAACGTATATAGTAATTTCCTTCTTGTTTATTTGTTTTAACTGTTTAAAAGAACTATTTTTGGAAGGAAAAGAATAACATACAGGTTAATCCTGTTGAATAATTAGATGAAAAACAATGGCGTGTATTCCCATTATATAAACTTTTATTTATTAGTTTGTGCATGTTCATTATCTTAAAAACAGGAAAATGTTTAATATGAATAATAAATATTTAAAGCTAATGTTACTAATAACATTTTAATCTACAGAGTAATACAAATTTATATCAATAAAATAATACGTTATAACCAATCCAAAATAACGATACAAGTCTTTGATTTATATCCTTGCCATATTCGTCATCATCAAAGAACATTGGTTTTTGATTAAGTTTTGTAATCCAAATAAATTTATTATCTGACTCCTTGATTATATGTTGATGGAAGGTAACTTTGATTGATAACGAGTTTTTGTGTGTGTGTGCGTGTGGAGTTAAGATGTATATTTATAGAAGGCGAAAGATTTTAATATTTATTATTTGTAATGATAAAAAAAACCTTTATGGACAAAGATTAGCCAATAAAAAACAGACACGCGTGTAATTATCTATCTGATGATGATAAAAAAAAATCTGAAAATAAATAATAATAATAGTAATAATAAAGATTTGTTGTTGTTGTTGTTGTTATTTACTATAGATAATATTGTTATTATTAGAGGTAATTATCAACAATGTTTTTTTATTTGAATAATAAAATCAAAAAATTAATAAAAAAAATTTTCTTGGGAGTTTTATTTTTGACATCAAAGGGCATTATTATTATTAAATTAATTGGCTATTTAATTGTTATTATTCAAAATTTTCCAGTTTTTTATCCATTCTTCAATTCTTGATAGATTATTTTCAATATCATCTGTATTATTACTTTGCAATTCTACAACAATTTCTTCTGAATAAGATTCTTTTGCTTCTTCTAGTACAATTTGAAATATTTCACAATCAACATTTTCTGTTATTTTTTGACCTGTATATTTTCTAAAATCAAATATCAATGATATCAATAATGTATATAATGTATATAATAAAGCATAATAATAGATAATTTTTCTTTCTTTTATATAATATTAGATTACTCACCTTTTTTCTAATCTATCATATAAAATAGTAATATCTGCTCTTAATACTATTATTAAATCAAACCAACGTTCTGGAAATAATTCACAAGAATGAAAGTCAATAATATTTCCACCATCTTCTTCAATAATTTCTTCCAATTCATCAACAACCTAAATATAATAAACATAAGCTTTTTATTCATCCTAGACTGATTATTATAAACGCTTACTTTATCATCATCTAATATATTTGTATCGAATGTTTCATTATATCCATCATATAAATTTTTTTCTTTTGCCAATTCGCCAACATTGATATATTTGTAATTGGTTGATTTTGCTAATAATTCTGATAATGTTGATTTACCTGTTCCTGGTGTGCCTGTTATTAAAATATTTGGATTTATTCTTTTTTTTTTTTGAGGAAAAAATATTCAATTAATTAATTGCATTAAATCTAGAAATAATTTTAAATGATTAATTACCGTTCATTAGACATTTTTTTTAAAAAAAATTAATTTGAAAAAAAAAATATTTAAGTAAGTCACATGACTTAAAAATAATACAAATAAAAATCTGAATTGACGGGTTGCTTGATTCTCGATTACATTCATTGTAATATTTTCTTCTTTATTTGAAATTTCCCGAAATATGTTTAGCGAGCACCCTTCAATGAATGGCTACGACGAGTACTTTACTAATTCATAAAATTTAAAGTCAAGTATCTTTTTTTTCGGTATAATAATTAATTACAAATAATTTTGCTATTGGAGAAGTAAGAATTTTTACTATTACACGAGCCAAAAATGGTTTTTTTTTGTATAATAATAAAGCTATTTCATAAATTGTCGGTTATTTACAAACGATCTTTGACAGTACAATTAATATAAGACATCAGTTGTCGCCTAGATCCGAGTCTCATTCATTTCGACAATCACTTCATCGACAATCACTTCATCGACAATCATTTCGTCGAAATTTCATTTCATTGAAAGTTCATTTTGTCGAAAGTTTGTTTCGTCGAAAGTTCATTTCGTCGAAAATTATTTCGTCGACAATCACTTCATCGACAATTATTTCGTCGACAATCATGTTAATTTGCATGTATTACCAATTATGTTTGGGAGAGCGTGAATTAATTGATGTTTATTATGTTTATGTGGAATAGGTTTACTAACATATTAGTTTAATTAGTGGATAATTTTGGTTTTAAATGTTTA